ATATATATATATATACACATTTGTAGAGCTGTAGAATTGTATATTCATATACATATATATAGTTTATAAGTATAGACATATGTGTATATATATATATACATGTGTGTATATATATATATATATATTCTTTTTATACGTACATATGTATATATACATATTAACTATGGAAATTCTACTTGTGCTATATAGTCAGAGTAGTATCGTATACCCAGGGCCTTAAGCCCCAAACCACAAACAAGCCGAGCCCTAAACCCTAAATCCTAAACCCTAAACCCCAAACCCTAAACCCTAAACCCTAAACCACAAGCCGAGCCCCAAGGTTTTCACAATCCCAGCGTGCGGCCGCTCTCGCTGTACGTCGGCGCCACGCACCGAGCCGAGCTCGCCTTGGAGGTGCCTGGGTTGCTAGGGTTTAGGGTTTAGAGTCTAGGGTTTAGGGTTTAGGGTCTAGGGTTTAGGGTCTAGGGTTTAGGGTTTAGGGTTTAGGGTCTAGGGTTTAGGGTTTAGGGTTGCTAGAAGGTTTTCTCATGCTGTGGTGTTTCACAGGGTTTTGTGTTGTAAGGGCTCAATTAAGAGGGTTCTGAAAGTTCCCTTAAGGGTGCCTACAAAGGATCTACAAAGGACCTAGGATTCACGGTTTTATAAGGTTGAAAGACTATTACGATAAGCCTTAGTACAAGGTTTAGGACAAGGTGACCTTAGGCGCTGCTGTCGGGGTTACTTTGATTTATGGCTCTGTATAAGGGTTGTCATAAAAGAACAAGGCTTTCATCAGGGCTTCTATATGGGTACGTTAAGGGCTACTCTAAGGGCAGGAGGGCTCCTTTTCGTTGTGCAAGCGCGTAAGGTTAATTTTTAGGGTTACTAGAAGTCTGATTACAATCGAAGGCTTATCTGAAGGAAAGTTCAAGGTGTATCACGGCCTATCTAACATTTCGGGGAAAGGCCAACCCGACATGGTCGCTTCGGATCTTGTTTGGGTGACTAGTAATCACTAGTAGGGTGGCTTCGGGTGCGTGTGCCACCAGGCATGAAAAGTCAATGAGCTATGCTGCTGGCACACAGGGATGCATTCCAGGCCAGAAAGCAACACCCGAAAGATCGCAAGTAGCTTACAGAGAAGACCCCAGGACCTCAAACCGACACCTCACCAAAAAGGCTTCAAAGGCCCATGCAAACGCTTCAATCACAAAGCTTGAAACACTCGGCACCTGCAAGCCTTCAGAGAGGGCGCAGTGCGAACACATCCGTTGCAGTCCGTTGTAATTGCTCCAAGTAGCGCCCAAGACTGCCAAGACTGTACTACGCAAACCATTCTAAACCTGCGTCCGTGCCGATGAAGCGTGGTACTTTCTGGTTCCCAGGTACCACAAGGTGAGCGTGATCATACTTGCAGTGACTTACTCTGCCAGTGATCATAGCACTGAGAACAGCTGCAGTCCCCAAACCCCCTCTGCCCTGAAGCTTGCCTGAAGAGTCAGCGGTTTTGGCCATAAAAGGCCAAAGATTTCCCGTGAAAAGTGTTTCTGAGGGCTACCCAGTGCTACCAACTCAGCCTCCAAGCAGCCCAGAGACTCGCAACACTGTTGCCCGAATGCTATCGGGGAAGTCTATTTAGACGAGGATTGCGGGGTGCAGTATATATAATATGTTCATATTAAGGAACCCTCAAGGAACAGGACTAGTAGCAGTAGCTACTCAGGCTTCTATATTATGCCCTCAATCCCCAGACCTCCACGTTTCGATCTCCCGGCTGGAAGCCATGGGCCGCCTCACCCGTACACTCCAGAAGTGCGAGGACTTGGGGGATCAGGGACTGGAGGAAGTACCGTACATCCACGCGTTTGGGACGTTGCTGGATCGCCCTGAGCAGGCTGCACCTCCCCCCCCGATGCGCAAACGAGCATCAGGCAAGAAAAGGAAGAATCTGAAGAAAAGAAAGAGTCTGGCAGCTTCCTCTCAGAGTCTCGAGAAGGTCAAAAGACGCCCGTCGGACAAAGTCGAGAACTTGAGATCATCGACGAGCAAGATAAAGACCAAAGCTCGGAAGTTCAATAGAGCGCGCTTCGACCGTGCTGTTCAAGCTGCAGAGCAGAGGCGTGCCGCTTTGGTTGGAGGCTGGCGGAATCTCGGAAGGGGGCGCAAGAGGAAGGAGATCGACCCAAAGGACTTCGCCGATGAGGAAGAGGGTCAGAGACGTTTTGCGCGCAACTTCCTAGACTGGCTTAAGGATCGCGGCCTCGAGGATTGCCTGAGGAGGGATGCAAGGAGGGATCCTGCTGCCGAGCTGGGTATTCCAAGCAGGCCTTTCATGTACTTCAAGTACAAGGCTCCGAGTGCTAAGAAGGGCACGACTTGGGCTTGCAACGCGCGGATGAAGCCGGGCCGTGGGTGGAAAAGGGCTTATCACGGCACCTGGTTCTACGGATTGGGCAGCATCTTGATGCATGGAGTGCTCTTAGAGTCAGTAAATGAGGATGCTGGCCATGAGTTCTGGAAGCCAGGTCTCTACCTGACACCGAAGCTGGGGACTGCGACCTGGTATGGCAGAGCTCAGAGAGTCTTCGAGGATGACATGTTTCACCGAGCCATCGTCGAGGTGAAGTACGACCCGTCGAAAAAGAAGGTCTATCGGGAACGAGGCGGTGGTCAGATCGTGGTGACGAGCGAGGCAGCTGCGATCACCGGCATCATCATTCAGCCCAACTCCCCGCCAATGAAAGGAGAGGAGAGGAGTGACAGCTGGGATGCCCAACTGGAGTGCTGAACGGGCGAGAAAGGGTGTAAATCGCTGACTGTTAGGTTTCAGAAATGAGGACGCCTGCGTAGTGGCCTTCATCTAAACTCAATCTTCGCAGCATTCTTGTTAAAGAGGGCCCCTAACATAGGCGCCTTAATAATTAGAATAGGGTTTTGGGGCCCATTATACGATAATTAGCATAAGGAACCCCCAACAGAGTATAGGTAATTATTAAGGCCCCTCTATTGCCTGGCCCTACCCGTGGTGTGAGAAGGTTTGAGGGTTGCTGGCCTTTGGGAGGGCTTGTTCCCTAAACCGAAAACCCCAAACCCGCAGAGCCTCTGACTGAGTTGTCAGTGGCCAAAATAGAAGCCTAAATCATTACAACAATGATTCCTTAGGTCCTTAAGTTCCTACTGTAATTATAAGTACACTGTAAGGTAGCCCAAGCCCTGTTGAAATTAGGATGGTCCCTTCATTACACCACATCACAGGCTCCGAAGAGGCTAAGCGGCAACCTTGTGACATGAGGTCGCAGATCTAGGTTGTTTTCGCCACGGGCTCTTGCAACCTAGTCCAAACCCCAAACAGATTCTTCCTTCCCACTACCACCTTCGCTGAGAAGGTTGAGGAACAACTTGTGCTACTCTGACTTGTGTGGTCCATCTCTTCATCCTAGCATGAGCCCTCGACTCTAAAAAACGTCTGCCAAACTACCCATGAACATGGCCTGTAGGTTGCCTACCCCTTCCGCAAACTGGAAACCCAGCATGCATGCTACACCCTTACCCGGCAACCTTAAAAACCCCAGAATGAGTTATTCTTCATTAACGTCAATGGATGTTGACATCGATCAAACTCCGAGAGAAAGGCCTTCGAACATCCTGCAAACCCGAAACTGCAGAAGGTCGAACCGCACAGCTAAATCCCGCTCAGGAGGTGCTTGTCATCAATCGTGGCCGGCTCGTTCGGGACGTGCACCGGGCCAAGCCGAACGGGGACGTTTCAATGGCTGGGTGCTTTAAAGTTGCTTGACCTTGTCGGAAAGAGCCACAGAGATCAGAGGAGATCAAGGCAATGATTGCTTGGTCTGCCCGCATTGCTGTAGAACCGAGGCAGTTCACCATGGCACTGATGGCGATGCGCCATCCCTCCTATCCGCCACGCGCCCAGAGCTTTCTGTGTCTGCAGTCGGGGTGCAATGAAGAGTCCTTAGCAGCTTGCTAAGTTCTTCTTGATCACACTCCCGGTCCCTGCAAAGACCATACTCACCACTTACTACGATCCGGTTACATTGCTTGGGCGGAGCTTAGGTTTCGTATGCAAAACATCGTACCACGGAGTTGGCGAATTTCATATTGCATGTTCTTGGCGTATGTGTACGGCATTTGTTTAGATGATGATTCCAGATTGCATGAAACGGTGTCTTCTATCAGGTGGTCTGATATACCAACCACACGCTACATTGAGATCTGCCCGTTGGCCGTGTCCTCTGCAGTTGTTTTGAAAAGCTACAGCCCCGTCGCTGCGTAAGCATTGAAGTTTGGACAGAAAGGTGGGGCTTAGGGTTTAGGGTTCCGAGTTCACTCGAAAAGGTAGCTGGAGTCAGCTAGAATATGCACTTAGTGTCGCGGGAGCAGCTCGACACATGCGTCTTGCACGAGTCCAAAAAGACCAAGGCACAGGTTTGTGGATCAGAAGATGCCCGGTTGCAAGAGTGACTCCCAGAACCCAAAACCAAAACCCTGAATTCCTTCCCCGAACGTTCGCTCTCCATGGCGTTGGCAGCAGATGCACCCTTGCACGTGCCAGCTGAAAAGCCTTACGATTTTTTTGCCAACCGGGCTCAACGGGTTCAACGTTTTGGTTGTACGTGGACAGCTGTATAACTGATTAGCGGGAGAAACGCCGATAACAGCCATGCTGCAGACAGTTTCAATGATGGCATCTGGCGTAAGAGGAGGAATAGGCCGCATCACGCGCCAAGCTATGCCGCGACATCTTCATCGTTTTGTGATGCATCCCTCACATGATGGCTTCAACAACAACCGTGCTCATGACAAGAATGTCCATGGGTGTAGGGGCTTTACATGGTTTTACGGCTCAGGAAGCAGGGCTTATCACCAACCTCGACTGAGGAAGCACATGCCCTACGCGGACATGGCCTTGTACAGGGCCGCCGTCATGATGCCTTGGGATCTCAATTTGGCGCATCAGTCGCAACGAGAACCCGAAACTTTGAGAAATGGGAGCTTAAGCCCTAAACCCTATAAACCCTAAACCCTAAACCCTGAACCCCGCGCATGAGTCCAGAGCTGGAGCCTCGAGGTTCAAAATCACCACGACTCGGAGCTTATCTTCATAATCATCATTATCAGCATCGCCGTCATCATCCCATATCATCCCCATTAACCTCTCTCTTCTATAGCGCCAAGACAGAAAACGAGGTTTTCGCTAGGCCCACTTGTCATCACAGCCCGTGGCGTTCCAGCTCAGGTTATGTTTCACGCCGCGGCCCTACGACACAGGCTTACGATTCAGGGCGTGAAGAGACAATGATGGGTCAAGGGCTTCCACACGGGTTGCATATGACAGTTTAGCTTGCTACATACTTGGACGAACGCGTGCGGATGATGATTGTTGACTGTCCTGTCCTTCACACAGTTTGTCATGTTTGCACGGTTTGGCTGTTTATCAGGGGCGTGGCGGTGTGGTAGACACCTTTTGGGAACGGAAAGAAACTGTCAACCCTAAACCCTAAACCAGAGAGTCGGGACTCAAGGATCGCCTTCCCTGTAGCCGTCAGCAAGCAAGCAAGAGAGCGAGAGAGAGAGAGAGAGACGGACGGATGAAACAAGAGAAGAAAATTACGAGAGTGAGTGAGACATGTGCTTTTCCATTTGGTGTCGGTGCAAAAGCAGTGAAAACTGTGCTTGGGCTTTTATTTTGAGACCTCAGGGTTTCTAGGGCTTTGGTCAGGCGATTCTTGTTGCCGCCAATCGTTACAACTCGATGCTGGAGGCAGTTCGTGACTATATATGCACACGGAACAGCATGAGCAAGCCGGAGATTCTGTGTCTGTGCAAATCGACTATTTCGCGTAATTGGCACTGGCTGTTCACATTGCACACGTGTACGGGTATTCAATTTGTTTTGTGCCTGTACGGATCCGATGGCTTTGACCCGCCGGAACCGTTATGCTGCATGCCCTCCCGAAAGCCACGACGGGCCTCCCTCATCACCAAGAGAGGGAGCGAGAGCTGGCTTTCTTCGTGTTTGAGCCTGCGCTGCAGAAGCGCTACTGTAAGTCCAGAACCCACAGTCATCCTGAGGATCTCTACGCCATGAACTTGCCGTTGTTCCTTCCCGACCTCCCCGGTTTGCATCGGGTGGCCACCACGTACTTCTCCCGATTCAAGATGACCCTTGCCCAGGCTTAATGCATTCGGATATCCCGTTTCTGCTTCGGGAGGGGGCCTTTCGGTTGAGGTTTTGCGCTTGGAGATGTCTTTGTCGTTTGTGGGGGGAGGGGGTGGGTCGATCGTATCTGAAGCGCTCAAAGGCATGAGCAGTGACAGAGCTATGATCGCCTGCGGAAGAGAGTGTCATTAATCCGCCAAATTCACTGACTCCATATGTCGATGGAAACTGTAAGGTGTCAATACGTCGGTTTGCTGGTGAAAGACCAGTAGCGACGCAAATTAGTAGTACCGTTTCACAGGGTTGCTGGTGCTGGGGATGCCTAGCCTTCATGTGGTTGTCCGTCAAGAGTGGTAGTGGTGCCGGTCGTCATCGCAGAAGCTGGAGTTGCAGGCGGTATTAGTGGTCTGGTAGTGGTCGTAGTCATGTCACGCTTTGTATTTCTTCAAGCCAAGCAAGTATCCAGACCTGCGGTACGCACCACTCCTAGCAATACTATCACTGCCGAACGAAGAATCACAACAGCAAAAACAACTACTAGTACCATCGGATCAGGAATTGGGACAATAGCTGCTGTCATATCAACACCGGCTGGCCAGACAAAGCGAGCTCTCGCCGATTTGACATCCCGCACCGTAAAGACACGTCTCCAAGCCGCCACTTTCCCTGTGGCAAGGAATTCGGCACATGACGAGCCGGGGGCCCTGCATGATATGCGGACTTTTCGCTTAGGGTCGAGAGTCTAGGCCTGCACTGCACGCCTTGCACGATCGGGCTGTGGTTTAATTTCGGTTTGTAAAAGGCAGGATATGGGTGCCCCTGCTAGCGCCGTCATTTTACACATGTCGAGCCCAAGACTCCCCAGCCCATTCCATCTGACTGGTTTTGGGTTTTGGGACCTTAAACCCTAAACCCTACACCCATTCCACCTAACTGGTGTGGGGACCCTAAACCCTAAACCCTTAACCCATTCGACAAAACTGGTTTGTGGACCATGAAAGCACCGGCAATTTATGCGAATGCATCTGCGGCCTGAAGCTCGAAGATGATGAGCCAGGGCAGGGCTATGGGGTTTCTTCTGCTGAGCCATGGAGTGCGTGCTAAGTAGACCTGAAACGCCTCTGCAGCAGCATGCGCAGTCGTTGCGGCAGGAGAGGATTGAGGTCAGCGAAAACTTCACGATGCTGTTTCCAATGTACACTGTCCCACTGGATGCTGCTCTCCGGATGAGAACGCTGAGGCCTCACGAAGAGCTGTTAGCTGCCGGCGAGCTGTTGTTGTTCGAAGATGGACTAGGGAAGGCATTGTTCGTTTCTCACCAGTGGGTGAGCCAGTCTCATCCTGACCCGGAGTTCAAGCAGTTTCGGGTTCTCCAAGAAGCTCTCCGAAATGTCACTGCTGGGTTGAGCCAGATCTCGATGGACACGATCACTGAGGCTGTTTTTGGCCTTGCGAAGGGAATCTCGGCATCAGAATTTCGAGTGAGCAAGCTCTTCCTTTGGTACGACTTCTTCTCCGTCCCGCAAGTTCCGCTCGTGCTGGGCGAGGGTGGGCAGTGCGAAAACATTCAGCAGAAGGCTATTTGCAGCATTCCCGCCTATATCTCACGATGTCAGCTCTTCATGGCTCTATGCCCAGTTATCGACAGCCCAGATGGGTCCCAGGTGTTTAGCCAGGTTTCCTGGAGTGGTCGTGGCTGGTGCCGAGTAGCTGGGCTTTGGAGTACCATACTTTAATACTTTTTTGGGACTTTTCCTTAAAGGAACCATTATAAAATAAAAAGTCTATACTTTTTTTCTCCCTGGTAACTTCAAAGCCCAGGTAGAGAGAGCAGTGCGAGAGCTGTCGATTCATGGTGGCACTTGGATCCTTGCTGCTCAGCTTGCCCGCAGAGTCTGTTTACACCGTTTATACCCTCTGTGTTTTCGGATTCCCTTACTGATCCACACAACAGTATATGACATCAAACTTATTCTTGAGGGGTTGCTTTGGAACGGAGGTAAAAAGCGCGAAGCATCAAGAAATCATGGCACCTCTGACCTTGGACCCACCGGGGGAGGGCACTTTCACCGTGGAACGTGACCGTGCGGCAGTTGCTCCAGTGCTCAGGCACAGGGCGGCCTCTGTTTTCGATTTAGCGATCAGAAAATGGGCAGATCGATTCTTTCATAGCCTCTTCGAGTTCCGAACAAATGGCCGCAGTAGGGGACCTAAAACGACGACCCTGTACAGGCATGTCTTAAAGGCGAAGTTGACCACGTACCTGGAGCAGGGCGACTTCACTAGCTACCGCATACTCCTGAACCAGCAGACTGCGCGCCTGAGGGGCCTGCCGACAGAGCCGAACGACGACTTGGTGCCGGGATTTCAAGCTGTCCCAGATGCCCCGAAGCATCAGAGGGCAGTGGCACAGTTCTTGCATGAGAACGGTTTCTGCCATCCCTTGGAGCGCGACGCAGCTGGCTGGTCTGTCCTGTGTTATGCTTCAATGCGGGGAGACCCCGTCCTGGTCCAAGCGCTGCTCCGTTGCAAAGCCGACCCCAACGACAAAGTCACCAAGGCTCAACCACAGCTCGGCATTGACAAGGGAACCCCAGTGCTGGGCCTCTGCACCAAGTTCAAAAATCATGAGGCCATGAAACTGATAATTGCAGCTGGATCCCGGATCAGTGTGAGAGGTGTGCTTCAGACTGCGCTAAGCTGCGCATGCTATGTGGATGATGCAGAGGCGGTGCACTGCCTTTGTGCCTCGGGAGGTGACCCCAACGAGAAGAACCCCTTTGGCGTATCTGCCTTACGCCAGGCCTGCATCACGGGCTCCTTGCATGCGATGGCTGCGCTTCTGGAGCACACCCAGAACTTAGACCCTTAGTAGCTGAGTGGATAACCTTTAACCTTTTGGGGCTCATATAATCCTACTATAATTGAAATGGTTAAACTTTTTGGGGCTGGGGTACTCAGCCCCTAAGGACCTGTCTCTCTCCCTGCATTGGGTGGCCATGGGGCAGCGCAGCTCCGCCAAGGCCCTGGCTCCTCAGCCTGAGGAGGCTTTTTTTTTTTTTTTTTGGGGGGGGGTATACTGTACTATAGAATCATTAAAATTCCTTAAATGCGGAACCGAAAACCCTAAACCCCAAACCGGAAGCCTAAGGGTAATTTTCAGACTGTTTAACGCTTCTTACAGAGCCAAGTTCCGGAGACGAAGTCTTACAGCTTTGTTGCCGGTCCGTCGGAACCTACGGACTTTGAGGGTACCCGTAAGAGAGGGCTTTGCAGAACTAGTAGTCCTCATCAGAAGTAAAGCAAAACATACCCTAACGCTTTACTCCAAGTATTCAGGGCTGTGCATTTACCCGCTCTTAGGACTTGCTCATCCGAGCTCGAGCGGACGTGAACGAGCAGTACAGGCCCAGGAGGATGAGTGCACTAGGGCTGCTGCCCGGCGGAATTCGGCAGTCTAGGGCTCAGGGAGAGGGGTCAAAAGTAAGGCTACAGGGAAAAGATGGAGGTTTAGAGTTCAGCGGCTTAGATCTAAGATTCCGGGGTTTCGCCTCTCTAACACATTCAGGAGCTGTAGTTGCTTGGGAGCCGCAGCGAACAGGTTTCGGGACCGGATCGGGGACATATACGCCATAGATACATACATGGGTAGTTGTCAAAATTATGGTCCCTTTTGGGGTACCCTAAATAATAATTAGGTGCCATGTTATAATAAGGACCCAAAAAGGGACCATAATTTTGACAACCACCCACATGCATGCATAAGAGATAGAAGAGAGAGGAGAGAGAGTGGGAGAGAGACAGGCAGCGTGTGCTCCCCACCTGTGATGGTAGTCGTACTTCTTATGTTCTGATACCTCTATCACAGGCCTGTAGTTACCGCAGTCAGCTTTCGGGGGACGGTGACCGATGTTGCATTTCAAGTGTGCCTTGTTCCTTCTCACTTTCGGTTTTCGGCCCGAAGTGCTATCACTTCCATGAGATGGGTCGTCAGTCCTCATTGAGAGAGTGAGCTCGGCCCTTTGGGGAGGGTGAAATTTCTGCGAGGTTGTGTAGCAATTCTCACTGACCAGACGAAGGACGATGCCTCGCCTGGATAGCCCGGTGTAAGCACCGAAAACCGAAACCGTGAACCCTTCAGTTGTATATAGTTCCCCAAACCTTCCCTTCAATCCTTACACACCTAACCCCTTAACCCTTAAGCAGAAACAACCCTAAACCCCTAAACCC